GAACCTCTGTGGGAGCTGGAAGGCAGGGAAGGGTCAGGGTGCTGGGGTCGAGGCACAGGTGGCTGCGGGGACACCCCAGTTGGGACAGCTCTGCCCTCCAGATGTCCCTACCATGTCACTGGAGATGTTCCTGCGCAGGGCCCCCGCCGTGAAGTACGTGAAGGCGGCCGAGTTGGCAACGAACTCGGTGACAGCCATCAGCAGCATGGGCTCATGTGCCACGGGCAGTGCCTTAGGCGTCAGTGTGGGCAGTGCCACAGGCAGTGGTGTGGGCAGAGACACGGGCAGTGCCATGGGCAGTGCCATGGGCAGTGCCACCGGCGGTGCTGAGCGTCTCTGCTGGTACATGCCCACCCTGAAGATCTCCCCCTGTGCAGACAGACAGATTGATGTGAGGCTCAGCCAGGCTGCCCTGTTCCCTGTTCCCAAATCTGCCCCAGGGATGCCCAGGGTGGTATTACCTTGAGGGCAATGTCCCCGTGCTCCGCTGTGAAGGCCGGCGGTCCCAGCAGGGAGTAGTCGATGGCAGCAAAGGCATCCAGCTGGGTGGACACTGCAGGGATGGGAGGGAGTTGGGGGCAGTGGGACCACCAGCCCCCTCCCACAGCCCCAGCGCTGTCAGCACAGGGGCTGACAGGATCTAGTTCCACAGTGGGGCTGTCCATGGCCCCTGGGACCACCCTGCCCATCCCTGGTCCTGGGGTCCTCTCACCCACCTTTAATGTGCTTCAGGGCAGCATCCAGCTTGTCAATGCCCCTCTGGAGCTCAAGGCAGAGCTGGAAGCAGAGCAGGGCATCAGCGAGGCCAGGAATGGGGGTGCCCAAGCCTCTTGCTGGGCTGAGGGGGATAGGGACACTGACACCCCATGGCACAGGGGCTGAGCACCCACCTGCTTGTTCAGCTGCTGCCGCAGGGTTCTCTGGAGCAGCGGTGCCAGCAGGTTGTAGATCCAGCTGTGGGGCAGAGTGGGGTGATCAGGTCACCCACCGACACCCCCCAGCCCACCACCCTGGCTGGGGCACCGGGAGTCCCCACATTCCAGGGACAGGATGGAGTGGGGGTCTCGGCATCACCTGTATCCACGGTGAAACTCCATGTGCAGGTCGGTGCCATGGGTGTCACATGCAGCGTTCCACACCGTGGGGCGGCCACCACCGTCCTCGCTCACCCCCAGCACCGCTGCCACGGCCAGGTCCCGCATGCGGAGCTCCACGGAGCCGCTGTCCTGGCTGGGGACAAGGCAGGTGAGCACAGGGACAGCAGTGACATCAAACCACCCTGAGCCAGCCAGGTCCCCGTCCCTGCCCCCATGAGGACTCACATGGCACCCAGCTGGGCTGCCCAGTTGGCACTGAGCTGGATTTGGGCACGTTGCACCATCAGCCTCACCCCCACGTCCTCGGCAAAGTCCAGTGTGGAGTCGTTCATCTGCAGCTCATGGATGTGGATCCTGCATGGCACGGGAACACTGGGCTGATGGCTGTGTCCGGGACAGGGACGGGGACAGGGACGGGGACAGGGAGCCCAGGGGCAACTCTTACCGTGGCACAGCATAGGTGAGGTTCCCCAGGAGTGGGATGTTGTAGGATCCTGTCAGGTTCAGTTCATGCTCCTTCTGCAGCGTCGACTGGAACAGCTCCAGCCCAAAGCGGCGGCCTGGGGCAAAGTGGGAATTTATGGTGACACCAAGGAAGAGGCTGGGGTCCCCAGGGTGCCAGGAGGGCAAGCAGACAGGTCCAGGGTGGTTCCTCCATCCCCCATTCCTGGCAGGCTTGGCATCATTCCTGGAGGTGCCCACTGGTCCCCTCCATCCCCCATCCTTACTGGTCTGGGCATCACCTCCCACTGGCCTCCCCCACCCCTGCCCAGTCAGGGGCACAGACCCACCAAACTCCAGCGAACTTCTGGTCAGCCAGGCCTTGATGCCAGGGTTGGTGATGGTGGCAGGGACACAGAGAGGCAGCAGGAGCAGGAGGCAGAGCCACGTGACACCTCGAGGATGGTGCTGGCACCTGAAGGCTGGAGCAGAGGACATGGCTTGGGGACACGCAGCTGGTGCAGAGACCCCTTCCCTCTGCACCAGCAAAGCCAAGACTTATATCGGGGACAGGGAGTCCCGGGTGACATCAGCACATGTGGGGACACTACAGCACTCCGGCCACCGAAAGCCCGGCCTTGCCCAACGTGTGACTCAAAGGGGAAGCCGGTTCTGCCGTTGTTCCCCACTCACTCCCACCGTGGGAGAGGAGGAAGGGGGGGTCCCCCACTGCCTGCTGCTGACCCCCCACCACAGGGATGCACAGGAGCCGGGGGAACCCACCAGGGCTCCCCACAGGGGCATGTGACTGGAATGTGGGGACACACAGAGACACGGCTGGGCCAGGGTCACCAGGGGCTTCAGCTGTGCCCTGCCTGGGGGCACAGGAGTGCGGGAACACAGTGAGCTGGTCCTGGGACAGGGGGGCTGCACTGGGGCAAACAGGGCTAGACCCACTTGCGCTGGGGAGCAGCAGCTGTTCCCACTTTGGGAAGGGCTCTGGGAGCGCTGTGTAGGGTCACCCAATCTTCAGTGGGGACCAGGGTGGCCGAGTTGCGGTGGCAGCCCCCAGGGAAGTGGTGGGAAGGTCAGGGCAGTCAGAGCAAGAGCAGAAGTGTGCAATCCCCTCTGAAAACCCCTGGCTGCAGGGAAGGAGCAGCCCATCAGTGGAACCATTCCCCAGCTGGAGTGAATCCTTCCAGCTAGACAGTGCCATGGGCTATGATTGACAGGGGTCCAGCTGCCCTCCTGGATCCAGCCCGGGGGAACACAGAAATCCCTCTGGGAGGGCCAGGGCCTCATCCCAGCACCATAAGGGAATGTAGAGCCCATGGCCAACCTCACAAGAGAGACCACAACCCCTCCATAATGTACCTTATGGAGCCCTTGAGAGCAGCTGCCACTTGCCTGAGACCCCCAGTGCCACCACCCACAGCTCCAGTGGTGGCCATGGCCCCCAACAGCATCCCAAAGGCCAGCACTGACCCTGACCCCAGCCCTATGCCCACCACAGCCCCTCTACCCCCGGGTGCCCCCTCTCTGTGCCAACACTCACCATGGCAGGCGGGCAGGGTGTCCCACATCACAGGGGCCACAGGTCCCACCATGGATCCCAGCTATGCAGTGTCCCCAAGACTGTACGTGTCAGCAAACAACAGGGACAGGCTCTGTCACCACTGTCCATCCAGGGTCCTGGTCAGACCAGAACGTCACCCTGTTCCCCAGTTCCTAATCCCTTCCGGGATGAATCAGGTCCCACGAAAACACCGAGGGACCGGTTGGGGCGCAGGTGCCCGCGGGCTGGGCACTCCCTGGGGCTCTCTAGTGCATCCTGGTGCTGCCGCATCCGGCATCCCGGCACGTGTGAGGCGGCTCAGCCGCGCCGGCCCCGCTCCGAGCCTGGGCTGGCTCTGGCAGCCCCTACCCCAGCTCCCGGTCGTGGCCACACCGTGTTGTCCCCGTGCCCTGAGGGGGAGGTGATGATCGGGGCTGCATCGCAAGGGTTCGGTCGTGGTGCACGCGGGGCTTGGGCAGAGGGTCAGGCAGAGACATGGGGACACACAGAGCCACGCACGGAGCCCGTCTCGCCCCGGCTCCATCTAGAGATTCCACGTCTGCCAGCAACGAACAGGTAAGGACGGCACTGGGGAACACGGCACGGGACGAGCCCCAGCGCCTCCCGCACCGCCCCCGGGCCGAGAAGAGCCCCCGGCACCGGTTCTCCCTGTCCCGGCGACCTCCGGACTCCTCACGGAGTCCAGTCCAGGCCGTGCAGTGCGAGCGGACACCAGGAGAGGGACCCACCGCCCCGACAGTGCCGCGCTCTGGGACAGGGAGGGAGCCGGGCGACAGAGGGGACATCAGTGGGGGTGATAAAGAGGACTTGGAGGGTGATGGAGGAGACACCAGTGGGGGTGACAGAGGGGACCCGTCCGATGATGGACATGTTCATCCACATGAACCCCAAAGCCCGGACACCCCGCTAAGTGCCCCCCACTGCTGTGTCGCCACCAGGACAGGGCTGGTTGGGCCAGGCAGTGTCCGGGTTCCCCAAGTCACAACTCCCTGCCAAGGGATCTGCTGGACTGGGGAACCACGAGCAGGCATGGATGGACACGGACACACATGGACACACTCAGAGCTGTGACTGTGAACATGCAAACACACACAAATGCTTGTGCAGAGGCTCACACATACACACACCTGTGCCCAGGGCCGGTCAACCCCTTCCAGCACCCAACCCCTGACTGCAGAACCCTGGGGGGTTTAAAGGGTTCCCCCAGAGCAACAAGAGTCCCTCCAGGCACTCCAATTTTCTCCCACCGGGCTCATAGGGATCTGGTACAGGAGGCTGTGTGGTCCTTGAGGTGTTTGAGTCATGGGGAAGCTCAGGCCAGTCCTGCTGCCAGGGGCATCCCCCAGCCCGCAGGGTTGCACAACCCCTGATGCAATTTCCTTGTCCCAAAAGGTTTCTGTCTCCACAGGCAGGAGTTGCACCAGGAAGAGCTGGAACCAGGAAGAACCGGGGCAACACCAGTGGGGCCACAGAGAGCAGCACCCCAGGACTTGTTCCCCACCCCCCCCAGGACACTGCAATGCAAAGCATCCCCTACAGCACCAGCCCTGCACCCCAGCCCTGACACAGCAGTGACTGTAGGAGCCGTGGGAAGGCTGCTGGGTGCAGGTGGCCCAGCTGGGAAATGGAGTGAGGGAACCCCACCGGGCAAACTCACCCCTGCCCGGGGAGATGGGGACCCCCACACTCCCCATCTGGACACAGAGTCCCACACCTGGCTCCCAGCACTGTCCCCTCTGTGTCATCATCCCAGCAAGGTACCTGACCAGGGGGAGATGCATCCCAGTGCTGCTGCTTTATCCCACCACAGGAACTGGTGTGCAGTCTTTCCTCCTGTGTCTGCCCCCAGTACCCCATGTCTGAGCCCAAGGAGTGAAGGAGAGAGTAAGCTATGGACCCCACGGGAGCCACTGGGAGAGGCTCTGTGGGCTCTGAGAAAGGCCAGCACACAGGGAATTGGGAGCAACCCGTGAGAGACCACCCTCCCCAGCACCACCACAGGGGCCCAGTCCCTGTACCCCACAGCACACCCACCCAGCCCACACCGGTCTGCACAAGCCCTTCCAGTTTGATGGGGGCTCACATCCCCGGGGCTGAGCACCCCCAAACCCCAGGGGAGGGGTATGAGGAGCAGGAAGAAGAGGCATGTGTGGTCATCAGGGCTTGTTTAATAACAAAACTCCAGCTATTGTAGAACAATATTCTCCAGCATCATTGTAATATACAATACGGGGAATGCTCTCAGCAATCTGAGAAGGAAGGATTACGGCCCGCGGCACCCCCTGCCCAGACTGCGGGGGGACCCCCCAGGGCAGCGCTGCCGGGGGCCAGGGATGCAGGCGAGCCGTGGCGTTCGGGGCCGGGATCCCGGGGACAAACGAGGTCCGTGGCGGGACCGGGATCCCGGGGATGTCGTCCGTGGCGGGTCCCGAGCGGTCTCAGCGGCAGAGGATCCGGTCAGCAGCGGGAATGCACGGAGCCTGCGGGAAAGGGGGACGAAGCTGCCGGTCAATACTTGCCAGAGGGGTTTCGGGGACTACGGGGGTGGAAGGGGGCAGGAGAAAAGGACATCGCCGGGAAGGAAAGGGGGCGGTGCGGATCGTGGGAAGGAGGGTCCGGGGGACGCCGGTGCTGCCCGGCGGGAGCGCGGGACCGGGTCGGTGCCGGAGGGTCCGCACTCACCTCGGGGGGGTCCCCGGCGGCGGCGGGGCGTGGGGGCCCGCACTGCAGCTCCAGCTGCAGGTCCCAGATGTAATCGATAACGTGCTGCAGCAGCTCCACCTTGGAGACCCGCCGGTGCCGCGGCAGCGTCGGCACCAGCGCCCGTAGCCGCGAGTAGCAGCCCTTCATGTCGTACAGCAGCGCGGCGGCCGCCTGCTCCGCCGCCCCGGGCGACACCCCCGGCACCGGCCCGCAGCGGGCGGCCTCCCCGGGCCGCACGGCCTTCAGCGCGCCGCCGGCGCCCGCGGGCAGCGGCGAAGGGGCGACAGCAGCGACCTTCATGTCTCGGGGTGGCGGGGCCAGGCGGGACGGTCGGCGCTGGGACCCTGCGGCAGAACAGCCGAGCGCGCACCTCGCCGCGCCAATTATAGAGCGCCGCCGACTGGGGGGCGGGGCCGCGAGGAGCGCCTCGACCAATGGCGGCGCGGAGCGGGCGGGGGAGGCCCCGCCCACTCCATTCACGCGCCCGGGAAGGGCAGCGTCTTAAAGGGGCAATGGAGGGGAGAAGGAGGTGGCGGACTTGGGCTGTGGGGGCTACGGGGGTGCGGAGCGCCCGCTGTACCCCGCCATTAGCGCGAGTAATTGCCTCGCGGGCTCCTGGTGTCGGGCTCCCCGCAGTCCCGCTCGCCCCTCGTCCCCTCCGGGCCCCCGGTGCCCCTCCGGGAGCTCGGCCCCCCCGCACTCCCCGCCGCCCCCCCGCCCTCCCCGGCGGCTCAGACCGTGAGACGCCAGGGCCGTGACGTCACCCATTCATAAAACCCCGCGCGCTGTCAGCGCGGCGCCGGGCGGGCGGTGCCCATGGCGACGGGGGCGGGGCGGGGACACACACCTGCAGCCCCCGCGGGGGGCTCCGGGACCCCCACGGAGACAGCGCCACCCCCACGGGGACACGGGGGCACCACAACCCTCGCGGGGGTACCGGGACCCCACGGGGGGCACCGGGACCCCGGGGTGACACGGGCACACGGGCATCCCCACCGGGGACACGCTGTGCCGTGCGCCCCCCCCCCTCCCCGGTTCGGTGTCTCCCGCTCGCAGCCCAGTCCCGGCGCTCAAACATCCGTGGAGCTGCTCGGTGGCGGCTGCCGGGGCGGGGTGGCCAGGTTTGGGTTCACCGGGGAGCAGGCAGGAGAGTCAAGCGCTGGGTGCGTGGGGCAGCGCGGGCACGATCCTGCTGCCGGGGAAACCGGCGGAGGTCCCG